TGGCTCCCACGGCTGTGTCTCAGCCATTGAAAAGGGAGAGCAGCTGCTTTCATACATATCTCAGAATCGAGATTGGGCTCAGGTAAGTATTGGGGGGGGGGGGGCTGAGGGGGGTAAAGCTGAACACTGAAGGTTTTTTCCCTTCATGCATATTAAAACCTTCAGCCTTTACAACTATTTAAGCAGCACAGCTAGATCACCAACCTGCCCACAGCCCAAGACCAGACAGTGAAGGAGTAGCAACAGATTGAGGTCATCCCTCTGCTCTCTCCTCCTGTCAGTATGTTTATTCTAAACACACGTGAATACCATTGAGTTTTAAATCAACACAATTTTTTTCTCATAAAATGCATTGACTGTAAATTTTATATCTGCCTGGAGTTCAGTTTCAAGTCATTTAAGTTCAGTTGTCCTTTAATTGTAGCAGATTTGTTTGAACCAGCATGTGTTCCTATTTTACAACAGCCTACTAATAGTCTTATGGGAGAATGGCCGTCACAACAATCATTCATGGCTGGATATATTATACACCACAGAAACATTTCTGGCTAAAGAGCTTTCGCTGCAAACCACTCCGCAGATCAAGATACAGCGTGTAGCCTTACCTCTGGGACCAGCTCTGGTACAGAGACACCACTCAATACATTTTTAATGAGAAGGAAAAAGAAAAAGAAAAGCCAAAAGAGCTCTGCCGACTAATCTGGCCAGCCGCACGCACTGCATTCTACAAATGATTACACTTCATAGACAGTACTTGACATACAACATCAGTCTTAACTTAGAAGACATCTGACTTAACCTATCCAAATCCGAGCTCCTGGTCTCCCCCCCACCCCCCATCCTCTCCATCACTATTAACAACGCCACCATCTCTCCCACCCCACACACCAAAGTCCTGGGTGTCACCCTGGACTCCCACCTCTCCTTCCTACCCCACATCCAACTGCTATCTAGATCTTGCAGGCTCCACCTCCGCAACATCTCCAAGATACGCACATTCCTCACCCCAGACACCCCCAAACAACTCGTACACTCCCTCATCATCTCACGCCTGGACTACTGCAACTCCCTCCTTACTGGCCTACCCAAACAAATGCTCTCCCCACTCCAGTCTATCCTGAACTCAGCGGCTAGACTCATCCACCTCACCAACCGCTCCACATCTGCCTCCCCCCTCTGCCAATCCCTTCATTGGCTCCCGATTGCCCAACGCATCAAGTTCAAACTGCTAACTCTGACCTACAAAGCCATTCACAACGCCGCCCCGAACTACATAACTGACCTGATACCCAGATACTACCCTACCCGTGCCCTCCGCTCCTCACAGGACCTCCTACTCTCTAGCTCCCTGGTCTTTTCCTCCCACGCCCAATTGCAGGACTTCCCCCATCTTCTGGAACTCCCTACCCCAATCCATCAGACTGTCACCTACCCTCCTCACCTTCAGGCGCACCCTGAAAACCCTCCTCTTCAGGGAAGCCTACCCCACCCTCACCTAACACCCGACCTCACCTAACAACTAACCTCCTCCACTCCTCCCACCACTCCATCCCCCACAGCCATCTCCTCCTGTACCACCTTCCCCTCCCTCCTAGATTGTAAGCTCCAAAGAGCAGGGCCCTCGAACCCCTCATGTATTGTATTGTTACTGTCTTGTCTCATGTTATGTCCCCCTTGCTACTGTACAGCGATGAGCATACCCTTTGGCGCTATATAAATACTGTATAATAATAATAATCAGTCATGATGCCAATACAGACACATCAGTGCTTGTTCTGCAGAAACCTGAACAATCCCACTGCAGTCACGCACACATTCTAAAGGGACAATTTTAAGTTGAACCCTAGACAAACCGCTAAATACACAGATGGAATTAATATGTTGGGGTTGTTTTACCTGCCAAAAGATTTGTATTCCGGTCTACCCAGTCCTGAGATTTATACAGCACAGTTCTGTCTGGCAGGGCAGGAGATTTGTTTTTTTTTTCTGCTTTATTTAAATGACAATAACATGTCCTGTCCCTTCCCCAACCTGTGACTACACAGTGAAAGGAATAGCAGCAGACTGATGAGCTCATCCCGGTCACTCTGCTTTCTCCTCTTATCAGCATGCTCCTTGTTAGCACATATTAGCTGCAGAGCAACATATTGTCGCCTTGTGCAGCTTCTCTCTCTCAGGCTAGGTTCACATCTGTGCGGGTGGTGCCGCTGCGGATCCGCAAAAAATCTGTGCAGCCGCACCACCCGCACAGAACAATGCGGACCCGCAGGTGGGTACCATTAATTCTAATGGCACGCCGCCCGCACTGGCAATCGCAACTGTACTGGGAACAGAGGTTCCCGTGCAGGCTGCGTTTTCTTCCCTGCGTGTCCCGGGGCACGCGGGGACTTCCTCCCTGCGTGTCCCGGGGCACGCGGGGACTTCCTCCCTGCGTGTCCCGGGGCACGCGGGGACTTCCTCCCTGCGTGTCCCGGGGCACGCGGGGACTTCCTCCCTGCGTGTCCCGGGGCACGCGGGGACTTCCTCACTGCGTGTCCCGGGGCACGCGGGGACTTCCTCACTGCGTGTCCCGGGGCACGCGGGGACTTCCTCCCTGCGTGTCCCGGGGCACGCGGGGACTTCCTCCCTGCGTGTCCCGGGGCACGCGGGGACTTCCTCCCTGCGTGTCCCGGGGCACGCGGGGACTTCCTCCCTGCGTGTCCCGGGGCACGCGGGGACTTCCTCCCTGCGTGTCCCGGGGCACGCGGGGACTTCCTCCCTGCGTGTCCCGGGGCACGCGGGGACTTCCTCCCTGCGTGTCCGGGGCACGAGGGGACTTCCTCCCTGCGTGTCCCGGGGCACGAGGGGACTTCCTCCCTGCGTGTCCCGGGGCACGAGGGGACTTCCTCCCTGCGTGTCCCGGGGCACGAGGGGACTTCCTCCCTGCGTGTCCCGGGGCACGAGGGGACTTCCTCCCTGCGTGTCCCGGGGCACGAGGGGGACTTCCTCCCTGCGTGTCCCGGGGCACGAGGGGACTTCCTCCCTGCGTGTCCCGGGGCACGAAGGGACTTCCTCCCTGCGTGTCCCGGGGCACGAAGGGACTTCCTCCCTGCGTGTCCCGGGGCACGAAGGGACTTCCTCCCTGCGTGTCCCGGGGCACGAAGGGACTTCCTCCCTGCGTGTCCCGGGGCACTAAGGGACTTCCTCCCTGCATGTCCCGGGGCACTAAGGGACTTCCTCCCTGCGTGTCCCGGGGCACGGGAGTCCATTCAAATGAATGGGCTCTCATGCCCGCACAAAACGCGGACTGCAGGAACGTAGATATGTGAACCAGGGGTCAGTCTGAGTGCTACTGTACGCGGGCTGCAAAAAAACTGATACCTAGTCAAATGCAGACACTTACATGGCCTGCAATAACCTCTTCGAAGTGGCCAGTATGCATCTATATGCAACCTGTTTACTGTGCTGAAAACGAGCTCACTGTGCGCTCCCAGCACAGTAACGAATACACCACAGACAGCTCCCAATACATACTGCCAATCATAGCGGTCACATGCTTGAAATACTTGACTCCACCTCCCAGCATTTAGATCCTCTTAAGGGGCTGGGAGCTGGCAGGAAGGGGTTAATTGAAAAAAAAAAAAAAAAAAAAAAGTGACATTACTGATTACATAGCTGCTGCTTTCAGTTATGTCTTTTATATCTGCCTGGATTTCAGCTGGCGGCGGTCAAGGAGACTAACTGGTACGGCAGTTATCAGTTACACTGACTGGTGACCGCGAGTTAAACATTTTTTAAATCTTTATTTGAAAATTTTGAGGTTTTTTTTACACTTTCATTTATTTTTACATATCATCCCCTAGCAGTACAGTGTTACCATAGTGACACTGTACTACTTGTGGGGGGTGATCAGGTTTTTTTTTTTGCTCTGTAAAACTAATAATTTCTCATGCTCCCTGGCTGCATTCCTGCAGCCATTGAGAAATACTGTGAGAGCTGTGATTGGTCACAGCTATCACATGGTACAAGGCTGCTGTGGGGCCTTGTACTATGTGATCTTTGTGACCGATCACAGTAGTAAACAACGATGCCAGGAAATTGCATCTCGTTTACTACTATGCATGTGATCGCTGATTGGCCAATCCGTGATCACATGGTACCAGGGCTGCCCACAGCCGACTGGTACAGCGATCTGTGTTCTGCTGTGTCTGGTGGACAACAATGTCAAGCCTATTTTACTTGGATTTTTCTATCTGTCCTATAGTCATACCGAGTCAAAGCTCAGTTTTGGATAGAGTGGGAAAGGGTGAAAATGTCTGACAGGGTTTCGTCACTTTTGTTTTTTTTCTTGTTGAGAAGATATTCACTTAGTCCCTAGGTGGTCAACCAGGATAGAAAGTGAGTAAAATCAGTTCTTATGAGCAGTTTTGATGCAAATGCCACCCCTCAAACCATCACACGTGCAGTGACCTCTTTTCTCATCTTTGTGTTTCTCAGCCAACCTCAAAATATACAAAGCATTCACCTGGCCAGAACTGAGCTCCTCCTATGATAGTCAAAGAGCCCAAAGCCATGACTGGTGCCAAAGGCCACCAAATTCCACTCTGAGTGTAAGGAGACAGCGGTGACGGCAGCAGGGGGCATACACTGCACCAACATGGTGGTTTGGAAACCAGGAGGGAAGAACAGGGAGCCATTCCTTGGGATCAGCTTGTCATGACCTTTCCACGTAAAGCCTTCCCGATCTTGTAAGAGGTCAACGGTCGCCACGCTGATCATATGATCGGATTTCTCATCACTCAGATCCATCACCAGCACCTAGAAGAGACCACACACATAACAGAGGTAAAAACTGATTATAAAAACAAGGACACAAATAGAACAAAACGTGGTTTTGCTAAAATAACGTTCAATAATAGTCACAGAGAAAAATGCAAATGTTCTAGGAGCATATAAAATTGGACAATGTCAGATACAAACATTTAAGTAGGGGGAGATTTTCTTACACAGCTGACTTCTTGTCCTGTAGGAAAATACCTCTAACTGCTATCCCCACTTCAGTCTATCCTGAACTCAGCGGCCAGACTCATCCACCTTACCAACCGCTCCGCTTCTGCCACCCCCCTCTGTCATTCCCTCCACTGTATTCCAATTGCCCAACGCATTAAATTCAAAATACTAACACTGACAAAGCCATCCATAACGCTGCCCCAAACTACCTCACCGACCTGATACCCAAATACCACCCAACCCGTAATCTTTGCTTCTCACAGGACCTCCTATTTTCTAGCTCCATGGTCTCCTCCTCCCACGCCCGACTGCAGGACTTCTCCAGAACTTCCCCCATCCTCTGGAACTCACTAAACCAATTCATCAGACTGTCACCTACCCTCCTCACCTTTAGGCGCACCCTGAAAACCCATCTCTTCAGGGAAGCTTACCCCGCCTTCACCTAACAGCTGATCTCCTCCACTCCTCCTACCACTCCATCCCTCACAGCCACTTCCTCCTGTACCACTATCCCCTCCCTCCTAGATTGTAAGCTCCAAGGAGCAGGGCCCTTGAACCGAACCCCTCATGTATTGTTTTGTTACTGTATTGTCTCATGTTCTGTCCCCCACTATAATGTACAGCGCTGAGCAAACCTTCTGGCGCTATATAAATACTGTATTATAATAACTGCTACTGGTAAACCATTTGTAAGCTATGAAAGGCAGACAGGAGAGAACAGGCTGAACCACAAAGTTAAAGACAATATCAAAATCTACCCAACTCTACAGTGAAGTTTTGATCATGCTACAATCTGGCATTTTTAATTTGCTAAATTAGAATAACCTGCTCTGGCAGTGCCACGTTTCAGCTCAATACCTACATATTGATAAAACAAGAGACATAGGCATTCTCCATTTACCTGTCCTGCAGTTCCTGCCACGATCATCTTGCCGCTGTACTTGCAGAGGGCGATTTTCTGGATGCCTAGCCGTGGGTCATCGCTATAAGGGTCAAAACAACCGACCTGTTGGAAATAAATAAATAAAATGACATGAATAAAATCAAAAAGCAACAGTTGTGCAATATAGATAGGTGCATACTTGGTATAAATATAAAAATGTATATAGTGAATTGTAAATGAATGTCTGCTCTAAAGCTCATTTCCAGCCTCATATGCCATAGAATACAAAAGAAATTATAAAAAAAAAACCTAAGAAATAAGGAAAAAAAGGAACTCTGCCCACTACCCACATGTGTAAGAAAGACATCGTCAGTGGCCTTCCAATAGTATTAGAAGAGTGGCAGTGGACATAGAAGAATAGGCAGTGAGGATGGCAGCAGCATCACAAGGTGATGTCACCACTGGTGGAGGAAATTTACAATAAGCATATGGCGCAAACCTAAAGTAAAACACATGGGGAATAACTGGCAAACAATAAAAACGAAGTTAGTCCATGAATATCTTGAAAGTCCATAAAAAGCACCTAAAAGGCAGCTTGAGCAGGAGACTGGAATATCTCCCTGCAGAAATAAAAGAAAGCACTAGGGGGCGCCTCTAAGTGCAGTATTGAGAATTTAAAGCGGAGCTCCATGCAAAAAAGGGAAAGTTCCACTTTAAGGACTGCTCCCCTGCTCCCCATTAAGGATTGGCACCTTTGGAGGGTGGGGAGTGGGTTAACCGAATTTGACAGGTACCCGCTCCCACTTCTGGTCCGATCGCGGTGTCCTCCTCCCTGTAGTCTTGTGGGAGACGTGACATGTCCCAGAAGACTACAGGACCATTCATGAAGTGCAGGGCTACTCGCGCATGCGCAGTGGGCACCCGGCTGTGAAGCCACAAGCTATCACAGCCGGGTGCCCACACTGAAGATGCCGGCCTCCTGGAATACAGGACGGCCGGTGAAATGGGCTGCAGGGGACACATCGCGGCACCGAGGGACAGGTAAGTGGCTGTTTTTTTTAAAAGTCAACAGCTACAGTTTTTGTAGCTGCTGACTTATTTTTTGACAGGGTGAGTGGAACTCCGCTTTAAATAATCCATACATAAAAAACTCACATGTGTGAAGATAAAAAGCCTGCAATTAGATGGGGACCATAGCCAATCTGTTAGCCACTATTTAGATGGTATGATGGGGTCGGCATCCAGGGTCCAATGGAGCCCAAACCAGGGTGGATGTCAGCGTTGCACAGAGGCACCGTCTTCCAGGGACAAAGAAGACTGGGAACCGGAAGTGCCCGCCCTGTATGCCGACCCCATCATACCATCTAAATAGTGGGTAACAGAGTGGCTATAGTCTCCATCTAATTGCAGTCTTTTTATCTTCTTCACACGCGAGTGTTTTATGTATGGATTATTGAATTACTTCTCAGTACTGCACTTAGAGGCGCGCCCCCTTGTGTTTTCTTTTACCACTGGTGGAGGGCATACTGACAGGAGAGTGTAATATTATTGCAAAAGCCCATCTACTGGGATGGATGCAAATCACAGCCACTTGGGGTCCAGAGTTTACAAGAAAACGTGTCACACACTTGACAGGTGAGCATCTCTTAACTCTTCACCAAGGGCTGACCCCACTTGAACACCTGTGTTATAAAGAACATTACGGAGAGCTGACAAAATAAAGTAACAAATCTTCAAGTCTCCAAACTGGCCATCTGAGAATAAAAGAACATGCCAAAGCGGAGGAGGTAATTGGAAGAGTGAATGGAACAGCAACATTCTAAAAAAAGGCCATAAATCGAGGCTGTACAGAGCACGCAGTGACGGCACCGGATCCACAGTGAATAATAAGTTACAAGGCGGAGCCGGCTCCATAGGGGAATCTGCACACCAGATGCTGCAAGCCCAAGCGGGCCAAAGCCTGACTTGTGGACGCCAGGATTAAGAGATGTACGGATCCCATCCAAGTGCTGAGCAGATCTTTGGCTGAACACCCCAGCTCCTCCAGCTGAAGTCATGAACACATTACATTCCAAATTTTAGTTTACCGTTTCAAAGGCAATGCTAGACTTCATAAAAGGGACCCATCATGTACAGGTAAGTACACACAGAAGCTCATCAAAAAATTAAAAATAATAATCACTTGGAGCTACTGACAGTATTTGGGTGTAAATGTACAAAGGATTCATGTTAAACCTTGTCACAAATTCTTAGTGATCTGGTGAGTTATGTCACCTGAGCTACAGCCTCAGAAGCAAAATGGCTGACTTAACGGCGTACAGACAGATGTACGTTACATTACTTTGCATTTAAATACCTTTTTTTTTCTTTTAGCTACACTTTAATACTCACTTCTGCAGCCAAACTTCACCATCTTGGAGGAGATAGTCTTGCTGGAAACTTTTCTACATCTGACATATCTAGGAATGTCAGGTTGGTGTCCAATACTGAGCTCTGTTTTATGCTTCAGCCCTAACATCCCTGCAAGAGAGGTTATTGACGGAAGGACCAGCGGAAGAAACCACTGACTGCATCAGTAATCAGGAAGTGGCTCTGAGGAAGAGGCTAGTCCTCGAAACGCGTCAGCCTTTTGGATGTCCAGAGTTCTCACTACAGATAGACACGCAGTGTGAATTGGACAGGGCTGTTCCTTTATGATGTGCCTTTTATTTATTGATCATTTGTGAGTATAATACTTATTATTTACATTTATTAATCACTTTTAAGGTAATGCACTAGGCCGGGGCGCCCTGTTTTTTTCTCTATTCAGTACTTAGGACTCCCCCGGTTCTTAAGGGCAGCAAGGCGTGCATATCCCAAGAATTTCCATATGTGGTCTTAATGACATGGAGTCCATCCCAAGCGCAGGAGTGGCTGGGTTTTCCACTTCTACACATTTATCACTACTAGAAGGGTACCGGAAGCTGGAGTGTCGAAAGCAAGATTACCTTTCAGATGGCAAAGTTTAGCACAGTTCAGGACACACAAGTATTAAACATTTCCTTGAAACTACAGAGTTACTTTAAGGATGACCAATATCCCATACATTATCATCATCATCAACCTCTTGCTACCAAAAAAAAGATAGTTTGGCAAACTGCGTACCTTGCGGAAAGGTGGCCAATCATCTTCACAGCTTTGATTCAGGCTTTCGTTGTGGTCACAGTCTGTTTGAAAGATACCGGCTGTCGACAGTCTGTAAAGAGGCCGCAAGGCGACGCCTGAAGCATCCCAGAACCGGACAGTGCCATCTTCATGGCTGGTAAAGTAGGAAAAGTTACAAAAAAAAAAAAAAGATGCTTCATTTAGTTTTAGGGGAGAAAAAAAAAAAAAAATTATGTTTAACCATTATACCAGAGTCCGTCTCCTTCTCCCATGCTCATCTCCAGAACTTCTCAGAGCTTCCACCATCCTCTGGAACTCTCTACCCCAATTTATCAGACTATCACCTACTCTGCGCACTTTTAGGCGATCTCTGAAAACCTCTCTCTTCAGGGAAGCCTATCCTGCCCTCAGCTAATAATGGAATCTTCTACTCCTCCCACCAGTCCATCCCCCACAGTTACTACCTTTTGTACCACCAGCCCTTCCCTCTTAGATTGTAAGCTCCAAGGATCAGGGCCCTCCTATCCCTCTTATATTGATCTGTATTGTTGCTGTATTGTCTCCCTTTATATTGTAAAGAACTGAGCAAACTGTTGGCGCTCTATAAATCCTGTATAATAATAATAATAATAATAATAATAATAGCAATCTAAAATACTGTGCATAAGAGCTCTTTCACACTGTTCTGGTGCGGTTTGACTGCACCACAAGAGTAGCGCGGCTTACCTGCTGGTTAGCTGCACTTTCCTATAGATTTCCATTACATCCCGCGGTTTTGGTGAACTTTCAGAAAGAGCACCAAAACTCTTGCATGCTGCATCTTTCATGCTCTTTTAGAAAGCGCACCAAAACCGTGGGACATAATGCAACTCTATGAGAGAACGCACATCTAACCCCCGCTAGAACAGGGCTGGAAGTCATAATGGCTGCCAGTACCATATATGGGCAAAGAAAATAATTTGTATGTGTAGAGTTGAACATTTCACCCATATCGCTCATTAATTTAGGATGACAGATCCTCACCAACATTCCCAACCCAGCTTTTTACGCCATAGACCCTCGCTCTTCTTGTAGTAATAGAAGTCTAAATGGACCTGTCATTCTGAGTGATGTTTAAAAAGGTAAAAAAAAAAGCTAGCTGCCCATGATGCCAACACTCTGGCTTTAATATATTAAATCACCGACCCAAAACGGTTAGGTAGATAGGGATTTCTGACTTTTTTTTACTACAGCAGATTTTATTTTTTGTTTACTAACCAACAAGGCAAACAACCTTAAGGGCTTGTTCACAGCATGGTGCAGAGACGTCAGATTTTCTGCACGTGTTCTGCAAGGGCACAATTAAATAAATTGTTCTCTATGTGCCCTGTTCACAACACACTGGTACATGTGCAGATTTCTGTTTATAGTGACTGCTCATTCATAAAAAAAAAAAAAAAAAAAAGAAAAATTATGACCTAGCATGGATTTTTTTTTTATTACTATTCTTGACAGGTTTACTTTAAAGTGAACTCCCAGCTATAACTTTTTTCTTTTTTTAGGTCACTGTGGATACAGTAAGGATGGTATAGAACTTCTAAACAGGCAGAGAAAGGGTCCCAAGGGTGACAACACTCCTCCTGGATAGAGATACACTCAGTGACCTTTGTCACCCTAAGGGAATTGCAAGACCAGTTCATCAAGAGGACAAAAAAAAAACAATATACAAAAGAAATATGAGTAAATGCACTGTACCTAAATAAGGGTAAGCTGCTATTTAATGATTTTGTAGGGGGGGGGGGGGGGGGGGGGGGGTTAGTTATAAATACTAAAACATTTACAAAGTGAGAAGCTCTGGTATTTCTCAGTGTCAAATGCATAGTCAAGAAACTCATACAAAAAAACGTGGAACTCTAAATACCAACATATCCTTGAAAAAAACAGCGGTTTTTGGTGGCCTGCCCATGCCAAGGGTTGTTCATACGGAGTTGAAAGAGCCGACCACACACTTTTAGAATGTTTGTAGGAAAATCCTCAGTACATTCGATGATTTGCTGAATGCCATTCGAAAGTACTCAAAATTTTATTGGCTTTTATTTTTCCAATTTGTAATGCATGAAGTTTTCCAAAAACGAGAACCACATACACTGCTAGAAATTCATTAAAGCTAAAAAAATTTCCATCCTGCTCCTTCGAATTTCCTTGTCACTGCGGTCAAAAAATGGTCGATTTGAATCCACTAACACCTAGAAAAATCAAATTAACTTTCTTAACATGAAAAATTTAGAATTAAACTCTGCTAGTGTATGGCCAGCTTTAGGATCAGAGTTCCACACTACAAGCTGGAAAAATGTGTGTAGAAAGAAGTTGGGAGAAATCATAACTCGGCACAACAGAGTGGTTTTCACACAAAGTTACATGCATACACTGGCTGTCTCTTGTTATACGGGAGTGTCCATATCACAGGCCTCTCCTCGCCTCCTCCACACATCTGGAGTCTGCTGACACCACTGCACCTCCCAGCCCTCCACTCCCGGCTCCTGGGGTTTGCCTGAATCCAAAAATCGCATTTTCCATATTTTCTCATCTCTCACTATTCTGTTTTTACTGGCCCAGCTGCCAAATTAAAACAGGGAGACACACAGAGCCCACACAAGGCTCAGCCATTCTCTGCAGCTGGAGAGACAAGCAGCAAGACGACCTTACATCAAAAATAACAATCACTCTTATGTAGATCTCGGATGAATCGCCCATAACAACGTCTCCTCTTGCTTTTTCCATTGCAGTAAGTGAGGGTGAAAAAAAGCATTTGATTGGCTGCTATGGGTAACGCAGCTGTCTGTGACTAAACTTGACTCAAGACATGTCAACAAATATGCCCAGATGTGCCCCAAAAATAAAAGAACCACAAGTCCCAGAATTCCCTACAATTCAGGGGAACTGCAGAAATAACCTGTCGGCTATTAAAAACCAATAACTTGCTTCAGATTTGGACAGTTGTCCTCTCAGTACATCTGTTTCCAAACAAAAGCAGCATTTTTATTTGCAATTCAAGAAAGACACAAGGAGGCGCCAACCTAAGTGCAGTATGTATAAAAAGTTTGATAAAATAGCCAAATAGCTACTCACAAGAAGGTAAAAAGATAGGACATTGAAAATGTGTCCTCGAAGGGGCCAGTGCAGGGGCCAATTGTGTCCAGTGCTGCCGGGTCCCAGGAATGGGATGGGTGGTAGAATGTCTGCGGTGGACGCCATGACAGGTGCCCTAACCAGCGTGGAATGCACAGAAGTCCGGAACCAGAAGGCAACCAATGAGGATGCGAAGACAGGTCAGGTGATGAGTCAGGTGGCGCATTTCAAAGCTTACGCTCTTTGTTCAGACCTGACCTGGTGGAACGCACGGAAGTCCGGAACCAGAAGCCAACCAATGGGGATGCAAGGGCAGGTCAGGTGATGAGTCAGGTGATGAGTCAGGTGAGGCGTTTCAAAGTCTCCGGTTTTTCCT